ATGGGTAAATAACAAAAGTAAATAAAAATTTAAGAAGTATATAAAAAATAAAAGGTAAGTTCTATAGTAAAAAATTGAAGTAAATATGATTATGAGACATATGAAGAGGTAACCAAAAGAAGAAATTAAGTTCTGGAAAAAGCTTATATAGTAAATATAAAATATGAGACAACTAATTCTCAGAAAAAGTAATAAAAATAAATACTAACGAAAGGAGTAATTACAAGCTTAAACCTCTCTTGACATATGTAGGCGATCCTGGAATAGACCGATTACCCCCGGGACCATGTTTCGCAGAATCGGATACTTTCCAAATGGTTACTGCCACCATTCGACAGCCAGAAACTGAAGGTGTTCCTGTTCGCGAAGGGATAAGTCTTGCCTATGAATGATGATTCTTGACGTTGGAAGGGACTGTTGTGCCTTGGGAGACAGTTTCAGTTATTAGTAGGCCATTACTGTTGGGAGCTATTCGCACCCATTAGAAATGGTCCCTCGTTGTTGACAAAAGTGTTTTCCCACGATGCGATGTTCCTGAAGTGATACAAGGATTGGTGATCATCCCACAATGGTTAATTGTGGAGTGTCTGTAAAAAAAGTCATGAATTTAATAAAAGAAAGAAAATATCTCAAGAAAAAGGTAGGGAAGAGAGTTTTAAATTAAATTATTAAATATAAATTAAAAAAATTGGGTAAAAAAATAAAAGTAATGGTAATAAAAAAAAGAAACAAGGAGACTGTGGTAAATTAATAAACAAATAAAGTAGGAGAACTCACACACATTTCCTTACTTGTTTGTCGAAGCATACATTTGTAAAGTTATTTTTCTTAGACCAATACCACTGCTTTTTAAACATTTTACAAATGGCATTGAACGTTTTCATGTTTCCCTTCCAACCCTTCTTCTACTTTCCAGTATCTTTTATTTTCTGTGCTCAACCCCCTCACCTATAGATAGAAATTTTTTTTAAATTTTAGAACCAGTGTCGTGTTGATAATGCCCACGTTTGAAGTAAGCGAAACACGTGTCCGTTCAGTAAAACTATGTTAGTGGTAATTGGGGTGAGTCTCCTACTTTATTTATTTATTTAATGGTAATAAATTAAGTTTTAAATAAAATTAAGAGATATGAAAATGAAAAGGTAATAAAAAAGGAAAATAAATAAATATAAAATTGGAAGCAAGTAAAGATCAGGAAAAATCATGAAAATAGGTAAAGTACTAAAAGAAGAACTAATTAAAAGCATATATAACTGTACCACTCTTGACGCATGCCGGTGATTCTGGAAGAAGCCGATACCTGACTGTTGGGTTACTGGACTAGAGGATACAGCTGAAAGTATAAATGTAACATTTATAATATAACATTCAAGAAAATAATAGTCTGTCAAGCGAGGAAAGAAAATTTTGAAAGTACTGTTAACGTAGATAGAAACAAAGAACATAACGAAAAATTTAAACAAAATAAAAGAAAAGAAGTTCTAGGAATGTGACTTGAAAGAAAGAGAATATTAAAGATTGTAACCGTAAGAAAATGCACTCTAAAACAAATGGGTAAGCAGAAAATAATTTAATGAAAACCTACCTTTCCTTTCCTGGAAATGCGGTCGAATGACGATGCCGAAATTTATCTATTATCGATGTGGTCCATGATCGATGACTAATTGCAAAATACACCTGAAACAATAATGATATTAGAAGTGAAAATAAAGCCTTTACATAAAACGAATAGGGGTATCTAAAAACGAATACAAATATGAGAAAATTTAACGTATTATTGGCAACAGAATCTTAAATACAACTTAAATGAAAGAAAATTCGTCACAACACGAAGATTACGTGAATAGGTAAAAACGCCATCCGAATCCTCAATCCGTTAAACAATTATATTAAATGACCCAAAAGGCGAAGAATGTTACGTAGAAACATGTGAGAAAATGTAAAACACAAAAAAGCGCAAATGAATTTACGACTTGCTAAATAATTATCCTGAAAGTTCCAAAAGGTTAAGGTAATGCATAAAAATGTGAGGAATAACGTACTGCAAGCTGTTTCGGTCTACAGTTTAACTTATGGCAAAATTCATTGTTAAAACATGAAAATAACATATAAGTATTAATCATTAAAAAGCACAACTCAATTTTCAACTTGTTAAACAATTATTCTGAAAGTAACAAAGGATCGATGAAATGCATAAAAATGTGGGCAACAACGTACTGCAAGCTGCTTCTGTCTCCAGTTTAAATTAAGGCAAAATTCATTGTTAAAACACGAAAAAAACGTATAAATATTAATCATTAAAAAGTGCAACTCAACTTTTGAATTGTTAAACAAATGCTGTGAAAGTTCCAAAAGGTGAATTCTCGACATTCATTACATACCTCACAAATACACCCACATATGCAAATTTCTCTTTTTCCATAACATTAAGCAGTACAGATATGAAAAACTGCAAATACGTTTAATTTGACCAGAAATTACGTTTCATTTTATAAAACGAATTATGAATTAGTTTGTGAATTCAGCGAGCATCAGAGTTGTTATACCGTGCAGTTAGAGAGAGTGAGCATTCGGATAGAAGAAGGCAGGTAGTACGCTCGAATAATTAAACATTATTGTATATAAAATTCATTATTTTACAGAAAGCTCATTGTATTTAAAATAGAAAAATACCCCATGTTTTCTGGAATAAAAAGTGTACTAGAAATGAAACAATAATCAAAATCCTCACCTCTCTCGACATTCATTACATACCCCACAAATACACCCACATATGCAAATTTCTCTTTTTCCATAACATTAAGCAGTACAGATATGAAAAACTGCAAATACGTTTAATTTGACCAGAAATTACGTTTCATT